CATTTGCTGTTTGCATCTTTTGATATTTTAGGTCACATGACTTTTTCACTGGTCCAATTGTAATCCGCTTTCAGCTGTAAAATCACAAATACTTGCTGTGCTTTTTTGAGGGTTTGGTCGTGCATGCACTTGTGGGCTTGTGCGTGTATGTACATGTAATAGATGTTTGCAAGAAAGCAACTAGTTAATATAATAACATGGCATGCAGATTTTGCTATATGGATATGCCTGTTTGTACACTTAACCTCCTAATGTTGAAATTTTAGTGTCAAGGAGGAAGTTCCAAGGAGAGGTGCTTATCTTTTTTCATCAATGTTGATGGGTAAGTTTCGTATCTTTGATTTTAATCACTAAAGCAGGCATCCTTAATTTGTTTACCTTTCACTCTTCCTGTGTTATATCTGGCTTTCTATTTTCTTGGCATTCCTTCTTAATCTTGTAGAGAGTTGGCAATTTGGATGTGTTTTAGAGCTAAATGTGGATGGAGAGGTTCTGTACGGGTATTATCATTTTTCAGCAAATACATATATGACTACCACCATTAAGCATCGCAATTGGAACTCCACTTTTTGGCTGTTATCTTTCACTGTTTACTTGCAGGCTTTTGAGGAGTGCAAGATAGGCTATGCCAAAACAAGACAAACTTTGAAACTTAACGATTACAGAGTAATCACTGAAATTGATCTTCAGCTAGAGCCATTATGTACAGAGGTGCATAGTTTAACTTTGTCAGGACTGTCATCATGATTATTATGTATTTTTTTGACATATTGTTTTATATTTTTTCTGAACTCATTTTTATAATTTGTTATGTAGCTTCAGGTTCATCAGATGATTCTGATAAGATGTGTAGACTTTTCTCTTCCATGTTTGTTTCTCCTGACGTGCACAAAAGTGAACCATCATTAGTTTCATACCTATGACGCTTAATCTTCTACTTTTTAATGTTACTGCTAAAACAAGTACCTAGTAATTTTCAATGCTAATGGAAGAGTTAAATCTTAATAGTTATACTGGCAACAATTTTTGGCTTCTGCCTTTTTGTTCCGCTTGGGGTCACTTTTCGTAATCCAATAAGTGCTTCTGTAACTGTTTTGGTGCTTTTCTTGCCTTCTACCTTTACTTTGAACTGCATAGTTTTGACTTTTGAGGATCTCTTATGATAATGAAATTTAGGTACAATGATCCCTCTGATATAGTAGTACGTTGTTGTTATTGTTAAGTATATCATCATGGAGTTGACAGTTAAAGTTCAATTACATTCTCCTGCATTTACGTTTCAGCTTATTGCATACTTCGCAGAAAGATCGATATCAGCAAAAACTCTTGAACGAAATGGCATCATGCAGTGTAAACATGATGATCAGGTTTGATTGCAGAGTTTCAGTAGTTGCTTATCTTGATGGCAGGCTCCTTTTTACCTATCATGATAGTGATTGAAGTATCCTGTACTAGTTGCTCTCCTAATTTGGTTGTATCCCGCACAGATCGTTATTGCTTTTACCTACAGGAGAAATGCAGCTCTAGTAAGCTGCAAATACCTTGCATCCTCCAAAGAATGTTGGCAGGTTTATGCAGTGTCTTGTTAGCTTAAAAATAATCGTAGTGTTTTTTTCATGAAATACACATATAATCTGTCTTGCTATTTACATAATGTTCTTTCTTTCCATCTACCAGGAAACGGGCACGGAACATATTTTTTATGGACTTGATGACATAAAGCAAGCTAGCGATGTTATAATTGTAAGTCTTTTAACTGTTATAGATATATTTGTACATTTTTGTTTAGTCAGATTCTTTCTTATATCCCTCGTTGTTTAGTCTCTTCTATATTTCTTCTGTTAATGCAGGTCAATGGTGAAATAGATAAGCTCTCTATGGAGGAGGCTGGTTTCCCCAATTGTATTAGCATACCTTATGGACTACCTGAACAATCCTCCAAAGAGCTACCTGCTGAGGATGAGGTCTTAACCAGACTTGAAACTAAAAGTGATCTTTCTTAGGTTTTTGAATTCTCTGATACTAATGCAAGACTAGAAATTTTTTTGCCTTCTTAAATTTTTGTATTGTAGCTTGTTTAATTGTTTTACCTTTATGAGCAATCATCATTCGTTAAGGCTTTAACTACATTTACAAATCCTAAGCTTGCAACCTTTGGTGTTTTCTTTTTTTTGGAGGATGATGTCAAATCAAACAGGCAACACTTGATATGTTACTTTTAATATTTTGTTGTTACATTATTGAAGTTGTTTTCTCTAATTAATCCTTCCCAACTTTTCATCTCTTTGTGTGCAAAAGTAAGCTCACATCAAATCTCTTGTGCTTCACATATAGGTAGTATCTTTGATTGAAAATGACTCTGCACACTCTTTGACTCACAAACTCTACTTGCGTGTTGGTGCCTTATATCTAATGGTTTAGCATGTCTGTGAATTCTTTCCTGACTGCATAACTTTAGGTATGATGCCCATGTTTAAGTCACTTTAAAGATTTATGGCACAGCTCTATCTCTGATGGGACAAACAAAAGAAAAAATGAAAACAAAGAGGTTCAAGCACTTGAAACATCGGAAAAGAATCTTGTTTAATTTTGTGTAATTCTTTCGATTCTGATTTTTGTATGTTGGTTATTTGCTGCTTTAAGCTTGTCTTCCAAAGGTACGCTCATGCTCACGGGATTAAACATATTCTCCCCTTATTAGTTGTTACAAACACATGACGACCACCATAAATGGAAGTACTGTTGAAAAACAGGTAAAGTTAGAAAAGGTCTTGGTTTTTCCAAGATTGAGGAGAGACTGAATATGGGATGAGGTAAAATAACATGAGATATTACTGTATTGTGCACATAGGTGTTTCATGATGCCGAACTAGGTGGTCACTTTTTATTTTCCTAGTACTTTCATTCTTGGGAATGGTAATATTGCTCAGATACCATGCTATATCTTATAAGGAGGTAGGGGAACTTGTTTCACTTTGTAAAGGTTTTTAAAATTATTGTGGATGTTTCTCGTTGGATCAAACCTTTTCCTCTATATGAGGGGCTTGGATGAGCATCTTCCATGCCAGAATTATATTGTAGTATTAGGTATGTGTGTGTGTGTGTCCACCATTCCCTTTTATCTGAGTTGTTAATGATTTAAAGTGAGCAGGGTTTGAGCTGAACTGATCAAGATTTTTCAAACATGCTAAAATTAGCAGGTATTGATGAGACACTGTAAATGAGTTGGGTTTAGGTTCATGATACTAACTTAGCTAATAGGAAATATGGTCTGGTTTATACCATAAAAGCAAGCCATAATGTCCTGATGAATTTATACCAAGCATGGTTATGGAGTTGAAGTTCAGCCAATTCAAGCTTTTAATTCAAGTAAAACGGGGAGGAACTAAAGGTAAACTTTAAAGTGGTTCACATTTTTGTGATTGGTCTTGGGATGGCTGGTGGACTTGCAGTTATCATATATCCTTGCATGTGCTTGGTTTACATGTGGGCATGGCATAATGTACACTTGTGCTGGTGTTGTTTTGGAGCTGGAGCTCTTTGCACCCTAGTATTATTGCATCTTGATCCATGCTTGTCTCAAATACCCACTTATTCTGACCATTGGAGACTCTTAGTGCCGATTTATTTTGTTAGATACATACTTATCTTCTCAGGACTTAAACAGCCTCTAAGATAGCCATTGTATATCATCAAGCTTCTGATCATCTAGTTACTTTAGGGTCCTCTTTTGACTGTTATTTGATCATTAGATACAGCTAAGACAGAAGGCTTGAGAGTGAGTCTTGATAGCATCAGGTTAAGTTAGCCTTTTTGTGATCTGGGTGACCAAAGTTCCCGTCATGGAAACATCTTTGTTTACATGGGTAAGTCTGTGTATATTGACCCTCATAGACCCACTTAGGGGAAGCCTTATACATTGGGCGCATGTCTAATATTTTGAGAAGGATTGCAATGTCTTAATGTTCTGTAGAGCTAATCAAAGTTAAACATCAATGTTGAGGTTTCGCTGACTTGCATATACAATGGGAATTTAGGTTTGTCTCACAATTTTCAGGACATCAAAAATTTTATTTATATTGTCACATTATTTTGAAAATTAATTGTTTTTCTTTCTGATCAGAGTACTTTTCATCTGTTTGAATTTTTGGGTGTTTTAAGCTCTTTTGTATTATGGTTTCATTGGATTTTTATTTCGGATAATATGTCAGATCTAACATTTTTTGCAATGTTCTTCACAAAGCTAGAACCCTGAGTTCCAGTACTTGTGGAACTGCATAGAGTACCTAGAAAAGGTCGGTATCTTAATGTTTAAAACAAGTTAGCTTTGCTCTTGTCCTCAATAGGATACTTGTAAATTGCTTAGCTGATTTGAATTGAAATGTCCTGGATAAATCTCTCAGGCATCTCGGATAATATTAGCAACAGATGCAGACAGCACTGGCCAAGTTTTAGCAGAAGAATTAGCACGTCGCCTTGGTAAAGAAAGGTTTGGTCTCTCACCATCATCATTTAGGCATGGATGTCAATCTGTATTCTCATGTTTGCCAGTCTGGATTGATGATTCTTTAGTTGTGTCTATATGTGTTATAATTTAGCTTATAAACATAAGAATTACTTGATACCTTTTCATCATTTGGATAAACAAATAGGTGCTGGAGGGTGACGTGGCCGAAGAAAAATGCTGCCGAACTATGCAAAGATGCTAATGAGGTTTGTTTTGACTGTTTGAACTGTTGCCTCTGTTATGTTGGCTACTTTGTTCTAAAGGTTCCAGATCAGGATCGGCATCAGTATTGATTAGTGGCATAAACTCAATTTCCTTCTAGATTGGAATTTACTGAAAAAAAAATCTAAAATTCGAAGCTGCACAAACCTTGAGACCTGGTTTGGGTGGTGCATGCTTACCAAATAATTTGCATAATCCATTTTTTTACAAAAATCATTACAAGTGTAATTTTTTTGGGCACACCAGGCATTCTATGTCATTTTTTATGGTGTTGATCTATCCATGTCTACTTTGTCATTTATTTTAAATGGGAGGACTAAGGAACTTTGTCTGTGCGTGTGAATGCATTGTGCATTCATGCATGTCCATATGTTTGGCCAAACATTATTCCTTCTATCCAAGGAGTCCTCTATAGGTACTGCCCTCTTTTATGGAGTATGTACGCCAAGTAAAGGGTGCTGACGAGTAGTATCAGATTATTCCTACAGGCAAATGGAAACTTGACTGCGTGGCTTTTCTATCTTGTTGTCTAAACTTATATTGTATTCTTTTCTTCAGGTTTTGATGTATATTGGACCAGATGAACTGAGGAAAGTTATTGAGAATGCTGAATTGTTTCCTATAATGGGCCTATCTCACTTCAGTAATTTCTTCAATGAAGTTGATTCATATTATCACCGGAGTCATGGATTTGAGCTTGGTGTTTCTACTGGTTGGAGAGCTTTAGATGAATTATACAATGTAAGAATTTAACCTACATAATTTATTCGTGTTTCCTTATTTGAGATTATGCAGATAAGATCGTTTTCTTAAATGTGATGGTTTCCTTTGCCCTTTAGAGTGTTCATTTAAGACTGGTATATTCAGTGCTGCACATGTCAGCGATGTATAGCCATTAATCACTTTGTATTTTGTTTCTAGGTAGCTGCTAATTGCATTGTATCCAATTATATGGGGTATTTTACTAATAGAGGATTCCAAAACTTATCTTGGTGAAAGATCATACTGGGTGCATAATATTCTAGTTTAAGTGAACTGTATTTTGCAAACAAACTTTGTTTCTTTATAATTTTCTAGAAACATTGATCCATCCAACTATTTCCTTTAATTTACCACCATATATATGTAAATTATATATATAAACTTTCATTGAACATTTTGGGTGAAAAGCATCACCGCACTTGTCAAAATACTGGTATGATTTGATTGCTACACCTTTTGCCAACTGCCAAGCATGTGCAAGTAAATCCAGGAAATTGACCAAATGCGATGCATTATACTGGATTTATTGTTGTGTTATAGAGTAAATCCAGGAAATTATGTGCTGGGTAGCCATGATCATCATGAGGGTTCATACTAATTTGTGCTTTCTTCTTGCAATAACTTTACCTTGGTATGATTTTATGATCTCCATATTATTTAAATGTGTGTAACTACACTGGATTAGTATTTTAGACACTACAATTTAGTTGATAACTACCTTGAAAGTTTGACAAGATTTCCATGCTTTATTTTGTGGCTGGATATCGATCAATCAAAACAAGAGCAACCTTAAACAAGTGTTTGAGGTTCATGATAATGTAGTGAAAATCTCTTGTGAATCACATATCTTGTTCTTTATTTTCCCTCTTTTCTTCTTTATCACTGCTACAGAGATGACCTAGCATCTGAAAATGAGATCAGCTGTTTCATGGTATCTTGATTTGCATGGCACCTGTTATGACTCATGAGGGTTAAATGTGGAAGCCAACATTTGTAAAATGATATTGCTTAGCACCATGACAAGGACCTTTTTTTCTGGTTAAGGCAGACATGGCCAAACTCTGGGTCAAATGTAAAATGCAATTCATGTTATGGTTAGAGTACAACCATTTAACAAATTAAGAATAAATATAAGGAAGTTTGTGTTAATTATTTGTTAACAAGCAAGTAAGCAATTGGTAAAAAGATATAAATTTTGTCCATACTGTCACAATGACTTACTACTGGATTTATTGTTCTGTTATAGATTAAATCGATCCATATTGAATCCAATTTATGATTAAAACGTGTGACTTTAGATATAATCTGACTTTCATCCTAGCTCACCAAAATCGTCAGATAAAGTACTAAAGTCTGTCTAATCTCGACTTTTTCATATATTTAGGATTCTTATAGTCATTATTTTTTAATTAGTCTGTCCATTCTCGGAGACGTACTTTTAGATGCTGGAGAAATCTAATTGAGAATGTCTGTTTAGAAAATTTTTAATGCTTCTGGAAGGATTTTGTTAATCCTGATTTTTTAGATGGTAGTTTTTGTTTTATTTGTCTCTTTTCAGCCTACTCAATCCTGAAATAGATTTTTATGCAACAACAACAACAGCCATATTTTTTATATATTTATAAAATCCTTTTTATCTGTATGGATTTTTAGATTGCTGGCTCTCTAATTCTAGGATGAGATATTTCTAATCTCATCATTGATTTCTATGTGGCAGGATTATGTTTATTTCACCTTTTTTTAATTTTTATCCTAGTGAAGTTAGATTTCTACTGAATTCCAATCTATAAAGCTATTTGAAAGCCAACTAAATTTGATCTGGCAGTCTGGTGTTTGCTTTTATCTTTTATTTTCTGAGCTTTCTTGTAATTAAAGAGGTATTTGATATATCCAACTTGTTAATTACTTTGAAATCTGTAAAGAAATGTTAGAATATGATTATTTACAAGTCTGAAATTTGTTGATAATCTTTTTGCAAGACTTGTGTGCACTTTTATATCTTTGCATGCTATTATTTTTTCCTTGAGCAGGTCGTGCCTGGAGAGTTGACTGTGATAACAGGTGTTCCTAATTCAGGCAAAAGCGAGTGGATTGATGCCCTGTTATGTAATATCAATAAAGCCCATAAATGGAAATTTTTACTCTGCTCTATGGAAAACAAGGTCTGATTTGTGAATCTTCTAGTTCGACCTTGTGATTATTTCAAGATTGTTGAAGATATTGGTCTTTAGGTTCGGGATCATGCAAGGAAGCTTTTGGAAAAGCACATAAATAAACCATTCATTAATTCAAGGTATAAAACCTTTCATATCATGTGTGTCTGTCCACTGGTAACTTTGGTTCATCATATTGAATTATGAATGAAAGTTTTGTTGAAATTATTGGCAACAAAAAGAAAAATATGAAAAATTTTCTCTCTTGTTGCTCCTGCAGTTGACTGAAATAGTCAAGTTCTTCAAGTTTCTTATTGCTCTCTGAGCTATGAACCAGATCATAATTGCTGCTCAGAGAAGTACTCATCTTTATTTGGCATTTGGTTAAAGCCTAATACATCGCTGGAAGTGCATTGGAACTTAAAGAGTAAAGACTGTTTTGGGTTGAAAACTCAAGTTCTATAAATTCATGTGGGCACTGAGGTTACAAGTTTGTAGGCTTTGAACGAAAATGACTTATATAGGCCTGATGTTATTTCTAGTAGTCTAGTCAACTTATATGATCTCGTATGCATGTCTGAGGGTGGGAGTATCCACAGGGATTGCATGATGAATCCAAGCTTATTGTTTCACAGAATAAAGATCCGATCAACACAAAATTGATTGACACTTTGTTTCTACTTGCATAATGATGAAAGTATTCATGCATGGAGATATTATCGTTTTCTCATCTTTATTCAGACCTTTTCTTGGAATTTTGGCTGTCTTTGGATTGTAGCTAAATTTCTTAAAGTTCTGCATATCTTTAAGACCTTTTCTTAGAGTACTTGTGAGAGGCAGCAATTCTTATTTGTACCATTTTAAGATTCAAGAAAAAAGATACAGTTTGCCTGTCCTGGCTGCAATGGAAATTTAACATGACACCAAATTCTGAAATAGCTGTAAGGATGCAGTGGATTATTGAGTGTCGGGCCAAAATTAAATTGACTTTCTTATTGTCTAATATTTTGTTTATTTAATAATAATCAAGTTAGTATTGAGTTAATTTACTCAAAGCATACACCTGCTTAGTGAGGGGGTGGGCATTGGTGTAATGGTGATGTTGCTCGCTGGTAATCTGGATGATCATGGTTCAAAACTCATGGAAACAACTCATCTATATGTAAAAACATTACATCTATGTATATACACACACACATTCTAGTTTGGCTTTTTTTAGTAACTCCTCTCTCCTAAATTTTTCCAAAAATGAAAAACATTGTGAAACACATTACTGTCATAGGATCCATGAGTCGATAGAAATTCTGAATGTTACTTCCAGATAATGTCTTTTTTTGTACTTGTCCCCATGTGTGAAAAATGAGGAAAAGAGGATGTGGAACAAGGAATCAATCCTGATTGTACTGGTCAATACAGGCCACTATTTATTAGTTCAACTTGTCTGACCGGTACAAAACTATTTAGATTGGTACCTATTAATATGATTTTTTATTATTAATTTTGAATGATATGAGACTATATGATTGGTTCACCATTCAGTATACTGGTATTATACTATTCTCACCTGTTACTATTGTTGGTAGTGTATTGAGATTTAAATTTTTGATCTGGAACATTCTCATGTTGATGAAGTGCACTTTAATATTTTTCTTTTTTTTTTTCCGTTTTGTTGCCTTTTGTTTGTTTACATTTGTTCATTTTTGTTAAACCTTTATTTTTTTTTCTTTTCTTGCCTATTGGTATACCAAATCGTAGATGATCAAAGTCTAGTCAGGACTAATTAATTAAACAACCATGCTGGCAATTTGTTCTTTGCTAAGTGAACATGTGCTCTCTCTTTTTTTTTCTTGCTTTTTCTATTTTTTTTTAAAGTTGTCTGATTTAAACTTTAGCTGGTATGATAACTGTCTTTTGTACCAGCTTTTCTGTCGGATATCTAGATTCCCAATAATTGTTTCCTTTGCTAATTTAGTTGCTTGTTAGTTCATAAGGTTCTTTGTTATATTTTTCCTAAAGTAAATTATTATGTTTATGGCTGTGGCAAGATATGCTGAATCTACCGAGCGTATGAGTGTGCGGGAGTTAGAAGAAGGAAAGAAATGGCTTGATGATACATTTTATCTAATTCGGTGAGTTATTACATGTCACCATGTTTGGTTTATCAGACAAGTTTTGTTAATCTTATTTTTTAAATGCATAACGCTTTATATTCTCATATATCTGGTCCAGATTACACAAGTGTTCTAGATATGTTTGAGTATGCATAAACCTCATTGGTGTATCGTTTCTTGATTGATTGGTATTTTGGATCATGGATAGGTGTGAGGATGACTCCTTTCCATCTATCGATTGGGTACTTGAACTTGCCAAGTCTGCAGTTGTTCGATATGGCATTCGCGGACTTGTTATTGATCCATACAACGAACTTGATCACCAACGTTCTTCAAATCAGTGAGTGATTCTTCAACTACATTTTTGTTCACATAAACTGTTTCCTGCCATGTAAATCTACTCTATTTGGTTTAACATTTCTGGTAACAGAACAGAAACGGAGTATGTGAGCCATATGCTTACTAAGATCAAGCGCTTTGCTCAGCACCACGCTTGTCATGTATGGTTTGTGGCACATCCAAGACAGGTATACCTTCTAATGTATCCTATAATCTATTAATGTTCTGCTTCTATCATCTTCTTAATGTAAACATGTCTTCAGCTACAAAACTGGAGGGGTTATCCCCCTAATCTGTACGATATTAGTGGAAGTGCACATTTTATAAATAAATGTGACAATGGAATTGTCATTCATCGAAATCGGAATCCAAATGCTGGCCCCCTTGATCGTGTTCAGGTTCACTTGTCTTCCTTTGCAGTCCATTAGTTTCTATTTTCCATTTTTAATTTATTTTTGCATATTGCATAGGTTTGTGTGCGGAAGGTGCGAAACAAGGTCTCTGGGAGAATCGGAGATGCTTTCCTCTCATATAATCAGTATATTTCTATTATGCTTATGAATCATTTATTGCCCACTATGTTCTGTCAAAATCCTGTTACCTTGAAGTTCTTAAAATACCTACTATTCTTTTTTAGATATTTTAACTTGGTTACACTAAAATGGTTGCTTGTAGCCCAGGAAGGTCCATTATTGTTTCAGTCCACATCTTATTCTTCTACTTTAGTATGGGGGGTCTTTGTCATCTACCATTTGCCTTGTATTAATATGTTAAAAACTCATGTTAAAGTGATGTTAACAACGAAGTGAAGAGTGGTAGATGACGAAGCTTTCTTGTATGACCTACTATTATATGTTTCTGGCTGATCAATGTGTGTACATGTAGAATGGAAACTTGCAATGCTTCTCCTTGCATTATGGTAGCAAGTCGAAGCATGAGCGACTCTGACCATGATACATCTTTGTGTGTTTTCACTATCCAAAAACCTCAATTGGGAATTTTAATCGACAGCTGTTGCTAACTGCAGTCTTTTTTTTTTTTTTTTTCGCAGAACCACAGGAAAATTCGAGGATTGGCATGATGGGGGCTATAACAATTAGGAAGCAACTTAGATGAGTTGCCTCTGTGACACTGCATTCATACACAGATATCGGATGATCAAGTTTTGAGGTCCAAGCTGTAGCTAGGCTGTAGCTAGAGCGCCAGAATGGAGAACAGTTTCGGAGCCCCAATCAACCATTAGGGGCTGTTCACTGTTTCCGGACGGGCAGTGGTCTACTTGTTCGGCTGTAAAATATTTGGTGGCTGTCCACCGTTTGGAAGATGAAACCCTGTTGTTAGGCGCATTAAATGACATGTGTTCTCATGTGTAAGGTGATATGTTTGAAGATACAGAGATTGCAATGTAACATGATAGCTTCCGAGTCTTGTGAAATGTACAGGTGAAACTGAGAGATATCCACGTATTAGGTTATGAAGAAAGCCTACATGCAAGGTATTATTGTATTTGATGAACACTTTTATGTGATTGCCTCGAGTGGTAGTAATGCATGTTTATGTTCTTCACCTCACGACGATGTGAAGAAGAATCTATGGCTCATCGAGCATCCGATGGCAGATCCAATCTCGAGACATCTTCGAGTCGTCCTTTTTCTTTTTGATTCGAACCGTTGTTGCTTTTCCACCTCTTTTATGCTGTCAATTTTCTGTCTATAATCTATCCGAGAAAGGTCAACCTCCCAAAACTTGTTGCCGGGAGGCGGTCAACCCTCCGTCGCACGCCGCGCCTGTGGGGTCCACGAATCTTCGCCAGCCCCACCCTCCCAAAACGCGCTTCTCCGCCCATTAGCCAATCCCCACCTCCATAAAAAGATAAGGAATCCAAACTTCCGTACCCTCCCGACCTACCCGATCGCATCGTCTCACAAACGACTCCAGGCCCCACAATAGCCAGACGCTTAGTCTTACAATCGCCACACGGGGTTGGCCGCCAGCGGGTACCGAAGAATAATAACATCCGGGAATCGAGGACAACGGCTCCCTGAGGTGGCGTCATTTCATTGGCTTTTTCCACCCTTTCCGTTCGGGTCCCTCGAAGGAAACAAAATAGCCGTTGGAGAGAGAGAGAGAGAGAGCCGTTTTTAATATTATTTATATTAGTAATCGTTCTCCCTCTTCTGTCGGCAACGAGCGAACGGAGCACAATAAATAAGAAACCATCCTTCTCTCCCTGTCCGTTGTGGTGGCTTTCCTCGTCTGCTGTCTCCCTCATATCCCCCGTTGCGATCGTGAAGCTGCCGTCCCATCCGCCGTCCACCATGACTTACGAGGTGAGTTCAGATGCCGGAGCCCCGACGGCCGCGGATCCCGTCGAAGAGAAAGTTGCGGCCGCCGCCGATGGCGACGAGAGGAAAACAGAAGTGGATACCAAGGTTGTCGCCGACGTGGAGGAGAAGAAAATGCCGGAACCGCCGTCCTCGGACCATCCTTCCGTCGAGAAGTGCTCCTCCTTCAGGGAGGAGAGCAACTTCTTGTCGGACCTGAAGGAGGCCGAGAAGAAGGCGCTCATCGAGCTCAGAGCCAAGGTCGAGGAGGCCATCCTCGAGGGCAAGCTACTCCTCGCGAAGCAAGAGGAGCAGAAGCCGATGGAGAAGAAGGAAGTGGCCGAGGAGAAAGGCAAGACCGATCATGAAACCCGAGAAGGCGGGGAAGGTGAAACGGCGATGCTTGATCAAACCAAGGAGAAGAAGGAAGAGGTCACGGAGAGAGAAAAGGCCGATCCTGAAGCCCAGGGAGGCGGGGAAGGTGAACAGGCGAAGCTTGATCGAGGGAAGGAGGAGGAGGAAGAGGTCAAGGAGAAAGAATGCGGTGAAGGTGAAAAGGCGATACCTCGTCAAGCGAAGGAGGAGGAAGAGAAAGAGAAGGTCGATCCTGAAACCCGAGAAGAAGGGGAAGAAGGCGAAAAGGTGAAGCTTGACCAAACGGCGGATGTGAAAGCGGAAGAAAAGGCGGCGCCTTTGGAGGAGAAGGCCATCGCGACTGCGGCGTCCGAGGCCAAGAATGTCGGAGACAGCGACAAGGAGGCCACCCTCTGGGGCGTGCCCCTCCTGCCGAGCAAAGGCTCGGAACGCGCCGACGTGATCCTCCTAAAGTTCCTCCGCGCCCGCGATTTCAAGGTGAAGGATGCATTCGAGATGCTGCGGAACGTACTGGTATGGAGGAAGCAGTTCCGCATCGACTCCATTCTGGACGAGGAGTCGCTGGGAGCCGATTTTGTGGCTGCGTGCTACATGGACGGCGTCGACCGGGAGCGGCATCCGGTGTGCTACAACATGCCGGGCGTGTTCCAGAACGACAATCTGTACCAGGAGACCTTTGGGTCGGAGCAAGGGAGGGAGAGGTTCCAGCGGTGGAGAGTGCAGCTGATGGAGAAGGGGATCAAAGCGCTCGACTTCAAGCCCGGCGGGGTCGCCTCACTGCTGCAGATCACCGACCTCAACAACTCGCCGGGCCCGTCCAAGAAGGAGCTTCGCACCACCATGAAGCAGGTCGTGCAGCTGCTTCAGGATAACTACCCGGAACTCGTCGCGAGAAATGTGAGTGCCATCGCCATTCCCAGTTTGATCCCGTAAAAGAGCAATCTTTAGAGAGATTAATCGCTTCCTGTTGTTGGTTCTTCTTCTTCTTCTTCTTCTTCACTGTCCTGATTGCAGATCTTCATCAATGTTCCTTTCTGGTACTACGCATTCCACGCTCTGATCTCTCCTTTCTTGACCCAACGAACCAGGAGCAAGTTCGTCTTCGCTCGTCCCGCAAAGGTCGCAGAAACTCTTCTCAGGTAAGGAAGAATCTGGAATTCGTCCGACGACGATCACATCTCCTTGGCACTAAACAGCACAAGCATCGCCGCCTTCTCCAGGTACGTCCCTGCCGAAGCTGTCCCCGTCAGATACGGCGGTCTTAAGCGCGACGACGACACCGAGTTCTCAGCAGAAGACGGCGGGGTTTCGGAGGTCATCGTCAAATCTAACTCCACCGAGACCCTCGAGATCCCTGCTCCTGAGGTAACACTTTTTGTTGCTGTGCTCATGGAGCGAATCTCTTGGGCTGATAACATCATGTTAAACAGGGTGGGACGACGATCTTCTGGGACCTGAGTGTTCTGGGATGGGAGGTGAGCTACAAGGAGGAGTTCGTGCCCACCGACGAGGGATCCTACACCATCGTCGTTCGGAAGAGCAAGAAGATGGCGGCGGCGGAGTTGCCTGTTCGGAACTCGTTCCGGAACAGCGAGCCCGGCAAGGTCGTGCTGACGATCGAGAACAACTCATTCTGGAAGAAGAAAGCGTTGTATCGCTACAAGATCAAGAAGAGCTGTTGAGAACCAACGACGAACTCCATGAATCCGTACTCGTGGCGGAGATGCTGTAATTTTAGGAAGGATACTAGAAATTTGTTGTTTATTTATATATTATTTATTATCGTATAATTCGTTCAAAAAAGAATGCATTGTTATTTCAAAATAAGCGTAATAATAATAACAATACCTCCAAATTTAGTTCCAATGTTAATAATGTCAATCAATATTAAGTAGGAAGTCAAAGAGACTTTTATTTTTTTATTCTTCGAAAATAATAATTACTAAGCACAGTAAATCAATAATTCCGGAAGAAGATAGAGAGCAATCAATCGGTCGGTCATACCACAACGGAAGAGCATAACTTTGGTCAACCAGTCTTGGAGAAGCAATCGATTGGCTGTCGAGCTGGTGGTCTTCGTCTGTGAGCTGATGTAACTCTGCTCCGATTCTTCATCAACTTGAAGAAGAAAAATTCGAAACATCAAAGTTAGGACATAAACAAATTAAAATATTCCAATATATTCAAAAATCAAATCGTTTATAACGAGCTAGAAGAGTGCAGAGAACGAGAGAGAGAGAGAGAGAGAGAGAGCGCATACTTGTTCATGGGCCGGCCCTAAGAAACATCAAGATCTGCAGTTCTCCTCGAGAAACATCAAGGAGTTTTTGAATATGGATCCGACGGAGTAGGTGGTGTCGGGCTTAAGATCCAATGAGCACCGCCAGAGTGACGGACGGAGCACATCGGCCTCTGCTTGCCTCGTTGTAATAGATGTCGATCCGCTCAAGATGTAAGGTCGGAGTCGCCAATGTACCTGTCGCTGCCGTCGATCCTATACTCGTTGTAGATCACCTCCCAGAAGTTTGCCCCCCAATTAGTTTCCGCTCTGCCAACCCTGGATGTGCATCATCTCCCTCATCGTCGAGCGTCGCCTCCGCAGCTCAACAATGATCTTAAAATTAGGGTTTTCGATGGTTGGAGAACGAGATATAGGGTCCGAACCGAATCGAATTATTTTGTAATTAAAGTAAGATTGTCTGAATCCCAACCGATTCAGACGTTTACTTAATTAATTAATTAATTAATTTTGAATCTAACATAATCGACTCAAAATTAATTAATCTAATTTATAGTTTTAAATATTTTTAAAATATATATTCTGAATCGA